AAGCTGTTGCTGAAGTTCCCTGCACTCTTCCAAGCGATGCTGCTTCTGTTCATTTTGCAGCAGTCGTGGCACAAACTTCACCGCAATCCTCCACATGTTCAGTTCCTCTGACAAAATTCGTTGACATGTACCATAACTTAGTCCCAAGGTGTTACAGAGGTCTTGGATGGTCAGTCTATGATCTTGCAGAATCAGATCCCTAACTTTCGCGACATTTTCTGGTGTTTTGCCCATTGACGGCCATCCCAAACGATCGTCATCATCAGTCAAAGTTCAGCCATTTTTAAAATGCTTATACCAGTTGCAAGTTTGTGTCTGGCCTAAACTGTTTTCACCAAAAGCTTGCTTCAACATTTGGCGCGTTTCTGCAGCGGTTTTCCCAAGTTTGAAACAAAACTTTATACAGACACGCTGCTCTCTCAGGTCAGCCATCGCAAAACTGCAAACTCTCGGAAACACAACAATGGAAATACGTTCACCAACAATAAACCCAACCACTCAACTCGACGCCGCTTGCCATATTGATTCAAGAAGGATGTGTGAGGAGACACCTAGCAGTATTTCGATGTATTCATAACCATTCGCAAAATTCAAATTTCGGAAACTTGGATTGCCCCACGTACTTCACAAATACTTTTAGTAGAAACAGTTCTTGTCTTCATTTTGTTTTATGCACTTCATAATTCTAAAATACATCAATGCATATTTGAATATATAAGGGGTAGGCCTTCTCAGTCTTACACCACGACCTACAGTGGTCTACTGTACTTTCAATGCATATTAACAGAAGCAAAGTTCTGCTATAGCAACAACAAGAAAGTGTCTCTCCCTCTGGTAATACAACCAGAAGGTACTGCAACCACAAAAATCTGTGGAAGCTTAGTCAATACAGCAATAGGTCACGGGCTTGATGGCCAGGGTTTGATTCCTGGCAGGGACAAGAGATTTTTCTCTGTTCCAAATTGTCCACACCGGCTCTGGGGCCCACCCAGCCTCAAAATCAATAGGTATCAGGAGCTCTTTCCATGGGTGTAATGTGGCCAGGGCATGAATATGACCACTCACCTTCTTCAAGTACTGAGATCAAGAATGGTGGAGCTATACCTCCACTCCCCCATGTCTTCATGGCGTGGTGCTTAATTAATTAATTAAGACCAGGGACAACTTTACCTTACTACAATCACTAATATGCCCCAACCATACTTACTTACTTACTTACTCATGGAACTGAGCCCTTCTCGAGGAGCTGCCAATTCTGCAGCTACTCAAGAATTTCCCAGCATTTTATGGAACCCGAAGGTTCATTACCGTGTTAACAAGAGCCCTAACTGGTCCCTATCCTGAGCCAGATCAATCTAATCAATACCATCCCATCCTGTCTCTCTAAGATCCATTTTAATATTGTCTGCCCACCTACACCTTGGTCTTCCCGGTGGTCTCTTTCCTTCTGGTTTTCCCACTAATATCCTATACGCATTCCTCGTTTCCCCCATTCATGCTACATGCCCTGCCCACCTCATCTTCCTTGACTTGATCATTCTAATTATACTTGAAGAAGACTACAAGTTATGAAGCGCCTCATTATGCAGTTTTCTCCAACCTCCTGTCACTTCATCTCTCTTCAGTCCAAATATTCTCCTCAACACCCTGTTCTCAAACACCCTCAGTTTATGTTACTCCCTTAATGTCAGAGACCAAGCTTCACACCCATACAGCACCACAAGCAAAATTATAGTTTTGTATATTCTAATTTTTATGTTTTTGGACAGCAGGTGAGAAGACCAAAAGTTTTGGACCGAATGGTAGCAAGCATTACCCAAATTCAGTCTCCTCTTAATTTCCTCCTGAATCAGGTTTTGATTTGTTATTGTCATTCCCAAATGTCTCAACTGTGCCACATTTTCAAAACATCTGTTTACTATCTTTATATCATGATCTTGTCCTGCTTTTTGGTCATGAGACAGCAACATATACTTAGTTTTCTCAGTATTTACTTCTAATTACTTGTGTCAATTAAAGTTTGTGTTTTTCTTTAAGGTATCTACATTATCATGCCCCAACCTACTGAGCAAGAACCTGAGCCAGTTCCATCTACACATGGTGTATCTTCCCCAAGATCTATTCCTTTCTCTACTTTCCACAAGTTTTCCCCACCAAAATCCTGTATACATTTCTTACTTCTCCAATCCAAACTACATGTCCAGCCCCAGAGAAATATACTGTAAATTATGGTGGGGGGCTGTCTACATAACAAAATTTACAACTCTGCGGCTCAGTGCAGGAACACTATAACTGACCCCCCCCCAAAAAAAAAACAGATAGCCTACTGAAAACCACAGCAATTACTGATTGCAGGAAATTACAATGTACAAGTTCGTGGTGGCCTCCAGTGGTATAACATTTACATAAAGTTTCATCTAAATGCAGCTGGTGATTCTAGACTTGAAACATGCAGATAAAATTGGCAGATACACATAATTATCCCCGTATGTGTTATTTTAATGCACAATATGGAAAGATTCTAGACGTGAAACATGCAGATAAAATTGGCAGATACACATAATTATCCCTGTATGTGTTATTTTAATTTACAATATGGAAAGATGACAAAATAAAAAAGGAAAAAACTTGCCTGCAATATATCTGGTGATGTACTCCAATGTGACTGGATCTTCAACAGTCAGTTTATGAGATTGACATTCTATCTGGGCGCGGTTTATCAAAATTCTGGCATCAGCAGTTAATCCTACAACATATTAAACAAAGCATGACCATTCACTACATACCCACATACTTTGAAATAAACTGGAGAAGCACTGTTTTATAAATATGCTAGTACTATTACATAAAAATCCTGTAATTCCCTGAATCATGTCAAACAGAACTTCATACTATTATATGAGTCAATGTTCCACACAAGATAAAAGAAAATTAAAAATGAAATGACACACACTACAATTAAGAATACTAGTTGACCAGATGACCTTGGATATAACATGAACACACACTCTTTTCCCTTCAAGGTGAGAAATTTTAAGAAAAAGAAATTTTATTTGCTGCCCATGTAAAATCCTTAGATTCAATTTATTCCAGTATAAACAATCTTTTGCCATCTCTCTGCCTTATTATAGGTGCAAGAATATTCTTCTCTTATCAAACATTTCCTTAATTAGTGATGTAATGACCATAAGTTATATTTGAATAGCAACAATGTTATGGCCTAAATATACATGTCATTGCCTTTATTACAACAAGCACCTGAACTTCAGTACTGCTTCTAAACAATTCTATTATAAGTTCTATTTGTATTTATTCTAATAGGGAATGGTTCTATCTGGAATCAGCCTGCAACAAATAAGATTCCTGTAGCGATATTTTCAATGTCACATTCTCAAGTTTCTTATAAGGTAATAATTACCTTCAAAAGCCATGACTACATGATCATCCAACAGACAAATCTTTCTCACAGTACGTTCTTCTTGCAATTTAGCTACAGACTTCTTTTCTACTCCCAGCACAACTACATCTGACCCACGAACACCAACCTGTTATTTGGGAAAGAATAATGTAAGTTCTCCATAGAGCACACAGTAACAGTAACCACAACACAGATCAATAAATATAAATATCTATACAAATGGATAAAGTTTTATAATTAAGCACTTCATTATGGAGTGTTATTTATTCCATAGTAAATATAAACTAATCAAAGCATAAGTAAAAAATAATTATTTCAGTCCTATGTCTGTCTTCTATTCACGGTTAAGTACTTAATTCCAAGGAGACACTGAGTGCATATTTTTATTCTGGCAGAGTAGAGTCTGTTTTCTTAACAAATGGCCACTGAAAATGAAATTCATGTCTCACTCTATTACTTTAGCACTTTATTAAGCCTCAGTTGTTTGTTACAAACTTTTCTGTCTTGTTAATCATAAATGTTACTATAGGTAATAAATATGACATGTGGTAGTGTAGTTGGCCGAGTCACTTTGCTTCAAGCCAGAAGGTGGTGAGTTCAATTGCTGATGAGGTCAGTGGATTTTTCAATTGACCTAATCCTTAAAGCTGCACTATGGCCCTGGGGTCCACTCAGCCTCTAACAGAAATGAGTACCAGGAATCTTCCTGGGGGTAAAGGCCAGCCTGAGTGTAACGCTGACAACCTTGCCACCATCTGTGGGCCGACTGTCTAGAGAAAATTTTGGAGCCTCAATGTCTCACAATCCTATGGGCCTCCATGGCCAGTTACAGGGATAGCTGCACTTCTTTTTTCACCTTTTATAGGTAATAAATACTCAGTGGGAGCACAAGGAATGTCTTAAATAAGTCCCTATACAACACATTTTTTTCAGGGCACTTGCAATGATTCTGATAGGTTTCTTTCACAAGAGTTCGTTATTGTGAGTTGCCCCAGAATATTGTCCCATGCAAAGGAACTATATTAAAAATAATTATATCAGTAACACATTATGGTTGCTCAAATAAAACCTGTTCTCAACATTGCTAGTGAGTATGACCAGTTACAAATGAATGACATAGCTGTGTGCATGTCACAACAACCATGAGCATGCACTATAAGAGGGACATCACAGCAAATGTGAACAGTATCACATAGTTAAATGACAGCATTCTAAGTATGAAACCAATCCAAGCAGGACCAGTAAGCTGTGATGCAGTGCCCTGGTGCAAAGCCAGTAACATCACTGACACTGAAGGGAGGGGGCAGTGTGTTGTGCAACAATGCCCAGTTTAGTGCTCCTCACTAATGAATGAATGAATGTATGTATAAGGGGTGGGCCTTCTCCACCCTTGCACCGCGACCTACAGTGATGTATTGTGCTTCCCTTTTTGATTATCCCCACAGAACGTGCGCTTTGAATGAAGCGCAGGATTTTGTACGTGAGGGCGTCAAAATAGTCACTTGGTTCCATTAAGTATTGACCTAAGTGACGTAATCTTAAATAAGCTAAGGCCTCACATTCACACAGGATATATGTGGCTGTTTCATTTTCTTCTTGACACCTCTCACAAATGGGACTATTACTTAGTCCCAGTTTAAGCGGCCTCCGTAGTCTAGGGGTAACATTCCCACCTCATCACTCAAGGTATGCAGGTTCAAACCTGGCGCAGGTCATGGAATTTTTAAGGGCGGAAAAATTCAGGGAACAAGTCCTCCGGGAGGGACATTAAGCTGTGGGTCCCGTGTCGTAGATTTACGGCATGTAAAAGATCTTCATGTCTCTAGGAGACCTCTGAACAAAATTAGGCAAAATTTCCTGCCCAAGTAGTTTCCAATGCGTCCGGTAGATGGGGAAGTTATTGGGTACCACTGCAAGCCTCGCTGGCGAGCACCAGTACCGGCAGGGTATGGCAACTGGTAGAATATCAAAGGGGAAAGTACAACAGACTATTAGTCGTGGTGCGTGGTGAAACCCACCCCCTCCAATAATAATAATAATAATAGTAGTCCCAGTTTGAAGAGGTGTCCTTTAAGATGCCAGTGTCCTGTAAGTAGTCCCACCACCCATCATAGCTGGTTCCTGTTTAACTCCAACAGTTCCTTCGCCCTTTCAGCAGAGGGTCTTGTATGAGTCCCTCTGCTTGCCTGAGTCCAGTCAAGGATCCACAGTATTTCTTGTGCTTTATATTTGTCCAGTCCCTGATTTCTTTTCTGGCAACTCCTACAGGTCCTATGAATGGATGTTCAGCTCCAGTCTTAGACAACTGCTGTTCCTCACTATCCACAACATACTAGGCTCCATGCATTGGATGGTGTTTTACCATCCCCCACATGGCCTTGACCTGTCATAATGTGACTTTCATATGTTTGGTTCCCTCAAGAAAGTGCTAATGAGCCATACATTTGGGTTGAATGAAGACACAAAGGTCATAATGATGCTATCATTCCAACAGGTGCTCAGGGAGTTCTGATTCAGCATCTAGTGTGTCAATGGGGACTGCATCTAACATCATCTGCTCCCTTGTCCAGAACAGTTCCTCAGTGGGTTTCACTTCAACAAGCCTTACATGATACTTCAATGAAAATAAAAAATAAGTCTGTAACATTGCAAATGTGCACAATACACTGTTCTTGGTTGTTCTTTATTCACTAGAAACAATAGGGGCCATAATGAAAATTATGTTGCCCTTGTCTCAGAATTAAGCCAACATGCCTTTTCTGCTTTAACTAATTATTAGGGTGTAGATTGTGGAGTTGTTATTACAAGGGCAAAACAAAAAGTCTTTGCCCCTATTTTTTTTTGGCCACAATAATACACATACACGGAAATCAATATACAGGCAGTGTTCTAAGTGCGTTCGACTATTTTTCCACATAGTCACCACCCCGGTTCAGGCATTTGCCCCGTCGCACCACCAGTTTGGAGATGCCGCTGTTGTAGAATTCGGCCAGTTGAGTGCGGAACCACCGCCGGACATTGGTTTTTGCGTCATCATCGGAAATTAACCTCTGGCCTGCCAGCAACTTCTTCAGTGGATCTTTCTGGATCCCATCATCACCGGAGATGAAACGTGGGTACTGTATTTCACTCCAGAATCCAAGCAGCAGAGCTTGGTGTTGAAACATCCCGGTTTGCCTGTCGTGAAGAAATTCTGCAGAACGTCATCCGTTGGGAAGTTGATGGTCACGGTCTTCTGGGATTGCCAAGGACCACTCCTGCTGGATTTCATGCCACGAGGTGCCACCATCAACGTGGACAGCTATTGTGGCACACTCGCATGTCTGCATGCTGCCATCAGGAAAAAGTGCCTAGGGATTCTCATGGATGATGTGGTTCTCATCCATTACAATGCCAGGCCTCATGTGGCAAACAAAACCGCCGCCTGAATACAGTCATTCAGATGGGAGATTATGGAGCATGCACGATACAGTCCAGACCTCACGCCCCGCGATTACGTGTTCGGTCCAGTGAAGAAGTTCCTGGCAGGCCAGAGGTTCATTTCTGACGATGACGCGAAAACCGATGTCCAGCGGTGGTTCCACGCTCAACCGGCCGAATTCTACAACAGTGGCATCTACAAGCTAGTGGTGCGATGGGACACATGCCTGAACCAGGGTGGTGACTATGTGGAAAAATAGTCAAAGGTACTTAGAACACTGCCTGTATTTTGATTTCCCTGTATGTGTATTATTGTGGCTAAAGAAATAGGGGCAAAGACTTTTAGATTTGCCCTCGTACTTTCTGTACATGTTGGCCATCAAAGCTTCTGTGTATATTTGTTGCTGGCTTGTTATATGAGGGTAAGTCAATAAGTAAGTTACAAATGGATATAGAACTTAAATAAGGGTTGTGATTTGAAAAATGCTTTTATTTCTCAACATAATCTCCCTGTACATTCAGGCACTTGTCCCATTGTTTCACAAGCCCCTGAAACCCAGCAGCATAAAATTCTTTTGGGCTGCTGTCGGAACCATGGGGTGACTTCCCTTTCTACATCTTCATCGTTGGGAAAATGTTCAGCCGAAAGATGATGTTTAAGAGGGCCTAACAAATGGAAGTCGCTTGGAGCAAGGTCGAGGCTATACGGAGGATGCTCAAGAACTTCCCACTTGAAATTTCGCAGGGTCTAATTTGTCTTGTTGGCAGTATGGGGACGCACTTTGTCATGCAAGAGCAACATGCCTTTGGTGAGGAGTCCTGGCCATTTCCGTTGAATGACCTTACGAAGTTTCCTGAGGATGCTATAGTAAAGTTGGCATTTACGGTTTGTCCTTGAGGCTGGAACGCGGTGAGCTCTATGCCTTCATGATTCCTGTCACTGCCAGGTTCCAACAGCAGTCAAAAGAATTTTATGCTGCTGGTTTTCAGGGGCTTGTGAAATGATGGGACAAGTGCCTCAATGTACAGGGAGTTTTATGTTGAGAAATAAAAACATTTTTCAAATCAGTACTATTATTTAAGTTCTATATCCACATGTAACTTACTTATTGACTTACCTACATACATTAAATAACTAATTTTATGGAAGTAGATTCTAAAGGCTCTGTTGGTGGTGTGTAATACTTAGAATTACTGGGTTTTTGGACTTTGTCCATTGTCCCATATTCTAGAAACTAGAAAACACAACTTTACAGAAACAGGATCTGTTTCTGGCACTAGGTGAAGGTGGTCCAGTGATTGAGGTTAACTCTTTCTAAGGGACCAAACTGAGTAGGTGTCTCCCCCCCCCCTCATCTGAGGACAGAAACAGATCCAGTTTCCAAAACATTGTTTTCTAGTTTCTAGAATACTGAACAATGGACAAAATACAAAACCCAGTAATTCTGCAAAATTTTATGGAGTATGATTTGTCATTAGTTACAATATATTGTGACGTGTCACGCTAGCTGGACCCCCCCCCCCCCCCCGTCCCCACCGTCTCAT